TTCCCATTTCCAGCCAGTCCCACTTCTCCCCTGCAACCTGACTTCTTGTCACCTCTGTCTCCCTTCCCAACAATTCTTGTTTTTTGTTTCTGTCCAAACAGTCCCAAACTTCCCTCCCTACCTTTCAGGCCCTGTATGGTGACAACATCCTTGGCTCCCAGCTCCCCAACTTCACTCAGTGGTTTAGTTCCAGCATCTCCTTCCTCCCTGTTCCCATATCCCAGTCTTCTTGCTCAGTGAGTCACCAAATTCCTCATCCTAATCTACTTCTTTCCTTCTCTCTGGATTTGTTTTTGGCCTTCTTTCTCCACACAGGTCTGTAGTGACCAAGCTCACCATAGCCCATAGGAGCATCAGTTATAGGGAAAGTATTAGTTTTCCTCTGTAGCCTTGGGTGGAGCATTCTCAGATGCATTATGAGAAAGATGCTAACAGCACTAGCAATTGGAGAGGCTCATGTGTGCTCAGTGAGGATTTTATCTTCAGGAGCTCTAACTGATACATTTGAAGAAATCTTTACTGAGCAGGTGCAAACTACATTTTTTTCAAACTCATATAACTGCCAAGTTTGGCTATATTTTCCCAAAGATAGCTAAAAACAGGTATACAAAAGCTATCCTATCACCTTTTCCAAACAACGGAGAATGAAAACCTTTCTCAAAAGATCGCCATAATTTTATCATGGGCAAAAGTATTATAGTTTTCCCTAGATTTATTCTCAGAAATCTCCACCTGAAGCATGGAAAGTGGTGGAAGTTTTCCACCTTGCATGGAAAACTTCAGCACAAACAATCAGAGTTTAGTGAAGTTACAAGCAAATATAAATAGGGTCATATTATTGGAAGTGTTCAGAAATCTTAATAACACATGATAACACTTGCCCTGCCTACACTAGGCATAAAATAAAACATATAAAAATGAGTGGCTACTGGGGACATGGCTAGAAGCAATGGCTTCAAATTGCAGCAGAGGAAACTTAGGTTTGGAGATTAGGAAGAACTTTCTGACTATGAGGGTGGTAGGCTACCTAGGGGGGTTACGGACTTCCCATCCCTGGAAATTTTCAAGAGCAGGTTAGACAAATACTTGATTGGGCTGATCCTGTCTTGAGCAGAGGACTAGACTACATGATCCCATGAAGCCTGTTCCAGCCCTATTTTCCTATGATCCTTTCAATATCAAAAGGTATGTGTATAACTACTTTACTGTTCTGGCTGGCTTCAAACATCTGAAGTTTCTAAACAATGTGTGTGTGTGGACACACACATACATAGTATTAAAATGACTCTACAATACATACTTAGTTCTAAAATGATATTTGCTTATTCACTCACTCTCACAAACACATACAAATATTCACCTGCAGCCTCTGGAACTTGTGTTCAGAAATACTTTGTTCTCAGCTGGTCGGCATGCAAGTCTATAAGAGACTGGCTCACTTAGAACAAAGAGGTCGGGTGACAGACTCAGAAATTTGTCAGGTGTGTTTGTGTTGATATAAATTTACTTTTGAAAAAAAAAACAACTTCTGTATAAAGAAGGCATCTCTCAGGTTTGGAAATCTGTTTGTAAATGCAAACATGGACATTGATTTCCTTCAGCTACAAAATAAATAATATTAAAGCTCTTTGTTTTTTTCCATCTCTATTGCAGAGAAACAACTCTGGGGATTTTTCAAGGGAGTCATATTTTTTTAATGATGTAATTGTCACACAACTTTCTAGTAGAATCTCCTACCCTTTCCCTGTCTAAATGATTTATAGTCAATTAGACTGAATTTCATTACAGCAAAATGGATAAAGAAGAAGGAAGTTCCCATCTGTTTGCTTGCTTTCATCCTTTTAAAGGTTTTGCAAGTTAAACAAAACAACCAGCCCCAAAACTGTTATCATCAGTTCTCAAGATGCTTCCAGTCCAGTACATCTGAACCACACTAAAGCACTAAGGCCTGCTGCAAAGCTTACTGAAGCTGATCAAGAGACTTTCATTGACTTCAGCATGTTTCAGCTCAGGTCCTTAAAACACACATTAAAGAAAGAGGATCCCTGGAGCTTAGTTTCTATCCAGGCTTGATCCTGCTAACACACATATTGATACCCCTGCTCGAGTGAACATTCCCTTTGAAGGCTTTTACGTGTCTAAATGTTTGTAGGGTAAAGGCTCAGTGGGTGGGTGTGAGCGAGTGATAAAAAGTGAATGAATGAAACAGTAGTGAGCATGAGTTGGTCCAAATACCCTTGCTGACTAGAGGACTGTACTCATGCAAGTGGAGTTCAGTAAGTAAGCACTTTTCACATTGGTGAGCCATAGCAGGCTGCAGCTAATGAAAATAAACTTTAGGGACATTGAATAGTAGGCCTTATTTATTACGTAACTGCCACTACTTTCCAAGTAGAAATTGTCAAGTGATTTTCCGCTCCTCAAAACACATCACTACAATACTAATATATTCTGATTGTAAATTTTTTCACTATCTTACTGCTCAGCAATAGCTCAAAAAACAAACTAGACCATACAGGGTGTTTACATTTTTCTTTGCAATCCGAAATGTGAGACAAAAATGATGCTGTGTCAGGGTAGTAAGTCAGGCCTTGACTTAATGAGAATGTGCAGGGATGCAGCAGCCTCTGTAAGAAGGAGAGTTCCAGTGCAAAGATCAGGGCCCTATTCAGGAAAAACTAATAATGTAAGCAAACGGACTCAAGGAATGTCTTACTTTTGATGACTAGAAGAATGCCATAGTAAATTGATAGAGTAAATTCCTGACCCTGCTACAGTCAATGGGAGTGTTGCCATTGGTGTGGGTGGAGCCAATATTTCTTTCATGGATACTACTAGCAGAGGCCCTAATCCTGCAAAACTGCACATATGCTTAACTCTATGTAGAGGGCTAGTCCCAGCAAGCTCAAGGGGTCTGCTCAGATGCAAAAAGGAAGGCAAGTGCAGATTAAGGGTCTGAGCCCCAGATCCACAAGAGATGTGGGTGCTGCAACACTGAGCATCACAGTGCATTAGCTTCTAGGCACTTACCTCCTGTAGTGAAATTCACTGCTCTGAGTTTGGTTCTTAGGGTTCCTACACAATGCATGGGGAGATTTAAGGATAGGATGCACAAGAAACAGCACAGAAAGTGGGTAGCTGCCTAGGCTGTCCAGTAATGAAATGCTAAAGCAGTGGTGCTCAACCACTACCCCAAGAACCCATGTCATCTTGCCTGTGGGTTTGGAAGTTTGATGGTGGGGGGAGCAGCGGAAGTGCAAACGGCAAAATTGCTGCCAAACTTTTGGACCCGTGAGGAGCCCCATGGTCTGGATAATGTGGCAGTGTGTGCTAGATTGGGTCACTATGGAGCCAGAGTGGAGTCAGATGGAGTCACTCCGCAGCCAGATCCAAGCATGTGGGATCCAGCCTGTGGATCAAGCCCACACCACTCATTTAACCCATGGGGTTGGAAGGTTGGGCACGACCGTACTCAAGAGTCATACTCCCTCTTTCACATGCTCTCCTTCTTACACTGGCTCAGTGACTCTTGCATTCTTTTTTATGCAGTATTACAGATTCAACAAGAACAATGGAGAATACCCAGTAGTCCAGAATACCCCATGGCTTGGTGTGTAGGGTACTCTTATTAGCAATGTGGCTTTGGATCCCCTATGGTAGATGCGGCAATTGAACTCAAGTCTCCCATTTTCTGGATAAGTGCTCTAGCTCCTAGGCTGTCATATAAAAGGATGTGGGGGTGGAACTACTACCCCCTCTAGCTGCATTAAAAGAAGCTTTGTGCTGTCTGTGTACATTAGGCATACTCTGAGAATGCCAACCAGACATAATCCTTCAGGGGAACTGGGTTGAGGACCATCTGCTTTCTGCAGTGCTGTGTGGTCTTGATGTGAGCTGGTCACAGAGCAGTGCTGGGCATGTACAACAGCTCTGTACATATGGGGGCTTTAAAGTCAAATGGGGAGGGACTTGAGTTTAGACACTTCCAGGGATAGGTGGCAGGTCAGTGGGGGCCTTTCGGATCACAATTGTGGACTGAAGCAGTTAAAGTCCTATGCTAGTTGTGCTAGTTGCCCAAATTCTAAGTCTTTTGTGAATTTGAGCTCAGGGTCTAAGTAGTTACCCAGTTCAATGAGGTTCTGCACATTAGAAACAGCTTGGTTTAGTTAAGATAGGAAACCTGGGTTCTGTCCTCTGCTGTTAACAGAGTGTGTCCTTTTAAGCAACTGTGTTTTTTGTGTCTGAACTCACCCACTTATCAAATGGGATTAATATTACCCATCCACACAAAGCACTATAAGAGCCTTGGAGGGAAGGCATGGTAGGAAATTGTTAAATGAAATAAAGGAGAACATTTCCATTGAGCTCAGTGGTACCTGATCAGCCATGATAACAGTTACTTTTGTCAAAGAAAAAAAGCCATTGTCATGAAGATCTCAGTCTGGTAAGCACTTGCTGATGTGTAAGAGCATTATGCAGACCAGTGGTTACTAAATGTTCTGAACTATTGGATGGGTGTTAATCATCAACATTTCGTGTGGATTACCATGCACCCTTATCCTCAAATCTTTAATTGAGCACTAGGTGTGTCTACGCATTCATTAATGCGCTGTAGTTACTGCGCAATAGTGCCAGCACACATTTTTTTTGTGATGGTTACTGTGCAGTAGCCTAATAACACTGCACAGTGCCTTATTAGCATGGCTTTTGACTGGCATACTACTGTGCAGTATTATTAGGCTACCATGCAGTAAGTGTCTTGTGTAGATGTGCTGAGTGTGTGTGTGTGTGTGTGTGCGCGCGTGCGCACATGCGTGTGTGTGTGTTGGAGTGTCAGCACAGACCACCATTGGTCAGGGGACAACAATTTGGAATTAGTCTCACTTAAAAGTGTTTCAGGATAAACCCTAACCATGAAGGGGGTTCTTGGGAGAGGTCTTTGTAACTCCATAGTAGAATTAAAGCACTCACAGTAAATCATTTGTGGTTTCTTCCTTCAGATCACCCAGCTAAAGATTGAAAACAATCCTTTTGCTAAAGGCTTTCGAGGCAGTGATGATATGGAGCTGCACAGAATGTCACGAATGCAAAGGTAAACTATTTTTAAATACTGTGTTAAACAATTTTATTGCCATCAGAACTATGTGCCTCTGACAAAATGAAGTTATGCCGACCAATTTGGATCTCAATCCTGCAAGCGCTTAGATACATGCTTATCTTCATGTTTTTTACTCAACTCAGACCTAGTCCCATGTGTAAAGTTACTCACATATGCAAATGTTTCACAGGCTCAAGGCTTTGCTAACTATGCAAATGGTATCTGTAGACAACAAATAATGTTTGTGACCCTGCAAGCCGTTTAGCATGTGAGTAACAACTTAAATGGAGAGATTTCCCTTTGTATAGCCTGCTCATCTAAACTCATGCCCAAGAGTGCCAAAAGATGTTATAAGAACACTAATTAGTCTTATCCTAAGTCATTTGTGATAATTAGAATGTGTTCTGGGTAGCCCTATCACACACCTTTTCTAACAGCTATGCAGAACCTGGCATGCGGCATAAATATTTTTTCCAGCACACTAAAAAATGAAATAACTCTCCCCCACAAATCTCCACCTCTATTTATTAATATCCCAACATTTTTATGTTAAATTACCCTGTAGGTTTGGTCAATGGAAAGACATGAAAGTTTATATTTATTACAATTTTTCCCCGGTGGGTGAAACACTGAAGACTATTAGAAGAACTTCATGCCATATGGAGATTATGGCATGTAGCCATGCTGAGCTGGTGCTAAAAATTATCTGGTATTTTAATGCAATCCTGTGGTCATAGTTGTTGACATGGAGAAAATATGCACAGAATTTAAACACTCATATGCAAACACACACATGCGCACAGAACTGGAGAGGTGAAAGGGTTAAAATACATAGAGTGGGTTTGGCAGCATATTTTCTGATGTTCAGCTTGGCTTCTAGATAAGTTATATCAGAAATAACTCTGTAGTTTCACAAATAAGTTATTCTGAGGGAGAGTAGGACAAGACATAAAGACCCAATCCCATTCAGTATTCTTGCTTCAGTGAAATATTAGCAAGGAGCATGCTTTGGCATTTGTGGTGTCTGTTTGTCTGTCTGTCTGTCTATCTACCATTTTTATGCATATAATGTGTTTGTGGTATAACAAAGTTGTTTTTGAAATGATGGACCAAATCTTGTTATACACATAAAAATGTAGCTTGATATTTATTTAATTTGGCCACTTTAGTGTAGGAAAAATAGATTAAAATATTTAAAAACAATTAATATGGCCCTTGTACTAGAATTTGGCAACTGAAGACTATCTTGGCCCAATGATCATCTCACTAGGAAACACAGCCATGGATATAAATAATCATGTTAAAGCAAAGTCATGTTGACTTGGATGGCTGGAGATTCTGGAGACTGCGGACAGTTCTGGAAGTCGATGAAATATCTGATCCTTGGTGAGCAGCAGGGGTAAATGGAGATACAGAGTGGGTAGATGGAGGGAAAGGATTGTCTTTGAAAGTCATTGTTAGGCCATTGTTGGTATACACTGGGATCTTTGCAGATCTCAGGCACTTTCTGAGAAATCTCTCCCTCTGCATTGCTCCATGTGCTCCATGCAGCAATCACAGCATGGTAGGCTTTGCTGCTTTACTACTATTGTCTGCTGTACAGTTGCATGCACCTCGGTGTGAATCCTTACCTCCAATGGTAGCTGCAGAGTACACAGCAGAAGCTTATCCTGCCCAGAGCTGCTTTGATATACAAAGGATTTTAGTTTACAGATCCACTTTTTGTGGATTAGAGTATGCTGGGAGCTCTTCTGGGGTCCTTTCCTCAAGTACCTGGACTTGCTTACTTTTCTTACCAGCCTGGAGGTCTGATGGATGTTTGTAGAGGCAGGAATTGCTAGCAGGTGTGCATGTGAGTTTGTGAGAACATTTTCCAGAGTTGCTTTCCCAACTGAACAGTGCCTCTGTGGTTTGACCTACTCCGCATTCACAGCAGAACCAAGCTTATAAATCTGCCCAAATCAAAGACTGCAGTCAATACAGGGATGGTGTTAGCATCTTTAGTGGAATCATAGAAAACAATGATGCAAGATACCTTGGGTGCAATCTATACAAGTTGTCTACTGTTCAGTTGACTAATTCACTGTGCAGTAAAAATCTCAGCATCTACTGCACTTGTAAATACAAGTACTATCCTGCTACGGAGTAAAAAATTCCACAGCAGTACACATGTGCGCTGGAGGGGCTAGCTGGGGTACAAAGCTGATTCAATGCAGGGGCTGCCTGCTGGCTAGCTCCATGCTGAAGTACCCTTGTACCTCAGCCAGCTTGCCTGCAGCACATTGAGTTGTGGGGAACATGTCCAAGCTGGCAGGCTGACCCACGAGCCTCCTGCCATCTGGGGCTGTTCTGTCCTGACTCAACATGCTGCTCATAAATAAACTGCGGAGCTTATTGCTCCAGAGTTTATTGCTCCTGGGTGCGTGTTCAAACAGCACACCAGGAGCAATTATTCATGCACCACAATTGCACATGTAGACACGCCCCTTGTATGGTTGTTTAGTCCAGGGGGCCAACCTTTTTGGCAAGTATGCCACAAGTTAATCCCACCTTTCCCCTAGTGTCACTCTGATACCCTTCCTCTGCCTAATCTGTGGCTCTGCTTTCTTCTTCTTTCTTTGTGCTCCCTGTTCAATTTGTTGCTTTTCTTTTTGCTTCCTGCCACTGCACTGTCTGTCCCTTCACCAGTCTGCCACATGCCACACACAAAGGCTGCCCATGCCACTTGTGGTTTATTTGCCACAGATTGGCCACCCCGATCTAGTCTATTTTGTTGCTACAGAGCTGGTTCAGCTACACACACACCATTCCTGATAGACACTTGTCTAACCTGCTCATAAAAAACTTCTAGTGATTTCACAGCTTCCCTAGGTAATATATTCCAGTGCTTCACTACTTTTGCTGTGAGAAAGACTTTCCTGATCTCAAGCATGAATCTCCCTTGTAATTAAAGTCCATTACATTTTGTCCTGTTGCTGGGGACGTGAGGAACAGTACAAAATGTTCCTCTTTTAAGTAACTTTTTACAGTTTTCACAATTATCCTGTGTCCTCCTCAGCCTTCTGGGACAAGAGGGAAGATAATCAACAGCAGATCATTTTCATCTGAAAAAATAGACTAGAATTGAGATCCAAATTCTAGTCAAAACTGGCTTCCAGTTTATTTCTTTCCTCTCCATAAGCACATGGAACATCCATTAGTGGGCACTGCATTGCATAAGCATTTTATGAGCACATACCTTCAGTCTGCAAGTTTCCATTTCTGAGACCAAATATATTGCTCCCTGATTAAGGAAAAACAAGTGTGAAAGAGGTTGTGTTGGGGGCATGCATGTGTGTGGGATTCCTTGTTTGCATGTTTTGCTGATCTCTAAAATCAAATAGCGGAAATTTGTGTCATTGTTATGCTTAGAAATTGGAGGAGAAATGTTCCTTTCAGATTCATATGTCATCTCTCCCCATGAAAGGAACTGCTGCTAGATATTTTGTCCTAGGTCTTGGACTACAATTCCCGTCAGTGCCAATGGGGATTTGGCATGGAGATCAAGCACAGGATATGTGGCAGGGATCCACAGAGGGTGTAATTGACATAACTATAACATCTTCATTGAGGATTCTAGAATAGACATTTCCCATTCATGACAGCCAATGGAGTTGTATTAATACTTCCTAACTATTCAGAATGATTTGGATGGAGTATAATGAAGAGTTAGATCATTTTATTGTGTATTAGGACGGTACTCACAAGTCCCTCCCCCTACCTTCTGTCACAGGTATAACATTAAAATCTAATCAACCCCTTTCTTACCTTGAACTTGATTTTTGCTCAGCACTTGTAGTTCTCATTGACTTCAGGTAGGGTAATATCTATTCAGCACTTGTAGCTATCAGGCTTTAATTACTGTTCATGTACATTCATCGGATTGTTTTGAGGTTTTGCATTTAAGAAACTCTTGTTTGGGAAGGCAGTTACATGAAAGCAAAGCTGTCAGCTCTTCATGATTATATTGGATGCCCCTGGACTTTGTGGCATATGTCATGAGGCATATAACAAAAATCGATGGAAGAAGCAGCTTGCTATTATGTGCCTACTTTTTTCTTTAATGGAGACAAAGGGTCCTATTTACTCTCATGGTGTAGCTCTACAGTGGTGAAAAAGTAAATTACTCTGGCTGTGAGCCAGGGCAACTGAAAACAGAATCTTGTTCAGAGTTTTGTGAGTTTTTTTAGCATGTCAGGGCTTAGAGTTCACCTTTCAAAAATAGTTTACATGAAGAAATAGAGAGATGATGCCAGGTTTCCACAGGTTGGAAATATAGCAGGATATAAAATTAGTTCAGTGATTCAGATGTGGCACAATTGAGAAGCATATGCTGGTGCTGGGGAACTAGCTGTGTGAGTCTGTGGATTCAGCAGTGTCTGTTCACAACAGCTCTGTAAGATCATGTCCATTATGTCTAATGCAATTGGGTTTCATTCTACTGGAAGTCACTGCTATAATCCTATCACTGCATTTCTATATTCATTTGGATTTTCCATGCTCTGTCACACAGAGAAATCTCACCAGCTCCATGCATCACTTTACGCATCCATGTTATAGTCTGTACTGGAGAGATGTTATTTGGTCCTTACTTCAGCAGGCTGACCCTAGTGGAAATTTTCCTGGGTAAAGACAGAGTACAAACTGAATACCTGATTCATAGTCCATTAATTTCAATGGTATTTGAATCAGGTCCAAATTAGGGCTCTAAGGGTTTGGCCCACAGGTGTTACATCTTACATGCTCTGCGTATCATAGGACAAGGGTCAGCCAATACCAGTTAGGGAGGCACAATCATTGATGCTTCCTCTGTTTCTCATGTGCTCATTGTTAGAAAGGAACTGTCCAACAGAACATCTCCAGAAGATCAATGGAGTGTCAATGAAAATTAATACCAACACTAATAGATAGCACCAAGGTCCCATCATACCTTCCCTGATCCTCCCATTCCCCAA